CTGTTTTCCAGCCACATCTTTCTGATTAGTGTCACTAAAGTGGCTTTCCCCCACCATTTCACTTAGCATGCATTTTCCTCTTCATTTCTTTTAGCTTTACCCATTCTTGCAAAGGCAATTCTCTATTGGAAATTTGTAATATATATCGTAGCAGCATTCCCCATTATCTTTCTTATCATTCATCACCTTTCTCCCTTATACTTCCTATGGGTACCCAAGTCTAATTTTCTGATTGAAGGAAGTTGTGGCTCTAAATATCTATAACCTTCATGTCTTAGATAATATTTAGTTAACATGGTCATTTCTGCATGAATGGAAAAACACTAGTCATTCAAGTATTAAGTCTTCACCTCCTTTAGAAGTGTTTGGGTTAATAAAATTAAGCTTCATGAAAGATTACAGCAAATCTGGCCTTTTATGTATATGAGAGCTTCTCATAATAAGGAACATATTTAAAGTATTGATGTTAACAAATCCATGCTCTTCATTCTGAGTGCTTACTATGCGTCAAGAGTAAAAGTACCTGCTTTCACTCCAGTTGGGAGAGACAGACATTAAATAACTGCCTCAGTGAAATTTTACTGTGTTGTTTTGTATGTACTATGGAGAAAAATAAAGCAAGGACAGGGGTTGAAGCTTGCTGTGGTAAAATATGTAGGCTTTTTTCCCCCACAATTTTAAGTATTTATTATATGAATCGAAACTATGACATTTATAAATATGCGAGAATCACCCACAGCATATAATAAACACCACAACAATTAAAGACACATCCAATAAAACATAATGTATTCATTATGGGAAAATTCTTTCTACCATGAAATTCACCTGTGATGGGTTTTTGACCACTGGGTGTTGATAAAGTATCAAGCACATTCACTTGAAGACTTTTAAAACTGAATGATGTGTTAGCCATTATCATCTAATGACCCATTCATGAAATATAGTGGCTTACAATTGTAGTGGTTCTATTGTTGTGTTCATTGGTTAGCTAAGTAGTTCTGTTAATCTGGCCTTTGGTTGATTAGCCAGATTTGGTTAATCTTGGCTGACTTGCTCATGTGCTTTAAGTTAGCCAGCAGGTTAATTGAGTGCTAGTTAATTAGAAAGGTTCACATCTATTTAATCTACTTCTGTATTTGTCTGACCAGCAGTTGGGGGTGAGCGATGGGGCCTCATGTCTCTTATTATGTGGTAGACTAATCTCAGCCTTCTTTGGCAGTTGGCAGCGTCCCAAGAGAGAAAGTGAAATCCTATAAGATATCTCATTGCCTAGACTCAGTGTTGACCCAGTAACCCACTGGCTGAATATTTTTTTTTTATTTTTATTTTTTATTTATGCAAGAGCTGGGGTACAAGCCAGATGTGCGGGAGGGTGAGAGGATTCACCAAAGATAGAGCGGGGAACAGAACAGGAAGACTGACGATATACATTGCTGAGGGGAACAGCGGGCGAGACTGGAGAGGTCCGCTCACCACTGTTGCTCCAAGGCTGGCGGGGATCGAACAGGCACTGCAGAGGCTGTGGACAGCCTCACGGCACTGTGCTCAACCACCTGCACCACCAGGGAGGCTCCATTCCTGCATATTAGTGATCAGTGTAGTTGACCCTGCTGAAGGAGAGGTAAATAAATAGCTTTTGATAAGGAAGGACTGTGAAATTACAGCCCAATGTGTGGATATAGGGACAGAAAAGGAACAGAGGATCATTTTTACTATCAATTCACTATATAGATGGTTGTGGAAAGCTGCACTGAGTTTTCATCAATTCCTTGATGTGGTGAGCAAAGGAGCCATGGGAATATCTCCTGGCTCTAGTTAGAGGAAACAACACATTTCTGGACCAGTGTATTGGAGAAATAGAAGGAAGCCAACATAGCTAATGTGGAGTGGACAAGGGAAGAGTAGTGGGAATAAGATCAAAGGAATAACAAAGAAGTCACATTGTTTAGGACTTTGTAGCTTTCTCTAAGGTTTTGTTTTGCGTGCTGTGGTAAGCAGGAGATCTCTGAATAGTGCAAGTTATGGTTTGATATGTAGGTTAACAGGATCTCTCTCAGGGACAGGAGAGGTAACAGTTAGGAGGCCATCCCTATCATCTGGGCTGGAGATGGTGGCAGCTTGGGTTCACAGCTGTGGCAGCAGAGGAGGGGACGAGTGGAATATTTTGAAGCGAGAAATAAAAATATGCTGATGGGCTTGACAGTGTGAAAGCAAGAGAGGTCTCAAGTTGACTCCAGGGTTTTTCTCTCACTACCAGAGGGGCTGATTTTGACAGAATAGAACCTGCCTGGTTGAATCTACTGATGGTGCTCCTTGTTGAAGTTTTCAGTTCAGGCTCACATTCTTTGCCCCAGCATTTGTTTTGTTATTTTTAAGCATTTTTATGTCTATTTGTGTTCTCTTATAGGTCTTATAAGACTGTTACATTGAATTATTTCTCAGAGAGTTACAAATCTTTGTTTCTTTAGGTAGGTTAGAGAGCTTTATTATCTTTTGTCAGTATTGTGTTTGCTGGGTTCTTTACAGTCCCTGTGGCCTTGTGTTGGTGTCTGTTTATTTGAAGGACACGTCCATCCCATCTGCCAGTCTTTACAGTCGGGTTTTGACAGATAAAGACATTCTCTAGGCCCTTGGTCTGATGGGACTATCTCTGGGGTTATAGTTGACTGGGGCTGGATCCAGGTCATGTGGCTGCTGCTGGGTCCACAACTGGGACCCAACTTGAACTTGATCAGGAAGCCACTTCTGTGTCTGCAATTGAGTCTTCAGATGGCAAGCCTGATACCAAGGGCATAGGTAAGTTTGTCTCCTGTCAGGTATCTGAGCAGGTTCCCTTAAGGTCCTGGAGGATGAGGTGGGGGGGGATGGTGGGCAGCCTTGCCTCCAGAACCATGGTAGAGCAGGGCTTGAGCCAGGTCACAGGGCTGTTTCAGGGTCCACAGTTGGGATTAGGGTTGAGGTGCTCTACCAAGGGCAAGTTATATAGCTCCGCCTTGGTTCCTTGACATATGGAACTGATGGTAGCACTGCAGCCAAGTGGAGTGGGAGCCCAATCTATAGAGAGATGCTGTTGCATCTGGCCTGCAGCTGGACCATGGTCAATGAACCTGCCATTAGCATGTCTTGTCTTTGCATAGTTGCTCCCCTTGGTCTTGGGTTCCACTTGGGTTCCACACCTTCTATCAGGATCTCCAAGCTCCTGCAGAGATACTTTTGTATACGGATGGATGCTGTTTCTGTGGGTGAACAGGAGTCAGAGAACTTCTACGCTGCCATCTTGTTGGTATCAGATTATTTTTTCTATAGTTCATGACCTAATAGAGCTTGAGGAAAGAGACCAGAAGACTCTAGAATGAGATGACTTGTGAAAGGTTAATATCTTTCAATTTACAGAGAAATATATTACCTTCTTGTTTGGACTGAACTAAAGACCTATGGACTGGACCCCAAAATAATTTTTAAAAATTTTCATCTATTTTAAAGAAACCATCCAGCAAGTAATTGTTTGAGAAGTCTTTCAGTGCATGAGAACTGATGATTTTGGACTTTTACCCAGAGGTTAGAATCAGTCAGTTCCCTTTTCATTCTTTCTAGAGGAAAAGTATTCTCAATTATGTATAGCCAAGACTAGCTTGTTAATACTAGTTAACTCTTCTCTTTAACCATGTCTTCCTCTTTTCTCCCATTAAAAATCCCTGACTCTGTCCCTTCTGGGCATACCTTTTAGGTTTTCTACCTGGATCTGTGTACCATGAATTATTATTCTTTGCTCTCAAGTAAACACGCCTTGTTTTTTAACAACTTTTTGAATTTTCTAGGTGGACACAATCAATAGTGACTCCATTTTTAATAGGTATGAGACAGGCACGGGACATCATTACTTGCACTTGTTTTGCAAATAACTCCTTTCAATAAGCCTACGATTTCGGTTCCTGTCACAGCTGTGGGAGAAATGCTGGCTGCACCTCACTGAACACCCCCTCTGGGGATTTTTTGTGAAGAAATGAGTCATCTTGTATAGATATTTACACACTTGACCACGGCCTAAGTCACCACATCCTCACACTCCAGACTTGCCACCGCTGAGTGGATTATTAGTTCTGATGGTAAAGTCAGAAGCCGGCCTGTGAGGAGCACAGCAGTGCTCCAGCCTTGCGCTGCAGTGAGGCCGCTGGTCCCTCCATGTCATACCATGATCATCATGGTACAGGGGCTGGTCTAGCTCATTAGCTGATGTCCACTGTCTCCCCCCATCACAGGTCAGAGCCTGTGATGCTGCAGTATAAGAGAGACGTGCACTCAGGAGACTTAACCTAAAATGTGAGGAAGATTGTGAAGAAACGTTAAACAGAGAAGTTTATCTCTGTGGTGTGAGAGCTGGAGGATTAAACAGTGGGGTGGACTTTATTCCACATTACATCTCCAAATCATCTTCCCAACAACATACAGCAAACACTGCAGGGACTACTTGCTGTGTTTCTGTGACTTGGCATGTCTTACCTCACCAGGACATAGGTCACTGCCCTCATCTCCTTGTCCCTCATCAGCATCGTGGTTCTATACCCCACAGTTCATCAAGGTCTAATCAAAAGTCTCTGAACTGGAGGACTGTGCCTGGGGACCTGGATGGACTATGTACAGACTGAAGGGCTGGAGAATTTGCTATTCAAAGTCCAGATGCATCAGGAGAAGGAAACTCGAGGAAAGAGAGGACAAATGCACCCTTGGTTGCTTCACTTCCTCTGAAGTCTAGTAACTCCTGTGACCTTGAAGTTTCTCCTGTGCACTGTGTTGAAGACCAAGGAGTGGACGAAGGAGGTGGGAGAAGTTCCAGGCAGACTGTACCAGTCCCTTCAATTTGTTTTTCACAGTCTGTGCACCAAGTGCTCAGCTGGTGCTGTCTGAGGCCTCCTGAACAGCTGGTGGTTGTGGCAGGGAGAGCTGTGGGCCCACCTCAGTGGGGGTTTGTGTTCGGGGCTCAAGCACTGTGGGAGGATGCTTCCTGGTCTGGAAATAGTAGTAGACTGCAGAGTCTTCAGGCTCCACATTTCCAATGGTGAGAGTGAAGTCTGTTCCAGACCCACTGCCGCTGAAGCGTGTGGGCACCCCATTAGATCGGGTGGAGGCATGGTAAATGAGGAGTTTGGGGGCCTGCCCAGGCCTGTGCTGGTACCAGGATAAGTAATTCTTCCCATCTGAGTAGAGGAGGCTCTCACTGGCCCCGCAGCTGATGGAGACACTCTCTCCCGGGGAAGTAGGAGGGGACACAGCGGCCTGCGCGAGTGCTATCTGTGCTCTGGAGCCTGCAATCAGAGGCACACACAGCTGATCCAGAGATGCTGTGATTCTGTTAGAGCTAGAAAGGGACTCCAGAGAGAGACTAGAAAAGAGCCTGTCGCTGTCAGTACTTATTTCCTGCCCCTCCCAGTGCCACTCTTCCCAGGGAGCATGAGGGTTGCCCCTCAGGGAACATTCCCCATGGGGATGTTCTCTCACCTGGAACACAGAGGAGCAGGAGCCCGAGGATCTGGGATGGCAGCACCATCTTCCCGTTGCCTCACCTCCCAAGGCTGCTCAGATGCTGCCCCTGGAAAAAACCTGTTTATCAGCCTCTGCCCACAGGGCTGGGCCAATGGTGGGGGCCAGTGAGGAGGTTGATGCAAATCCCCGTGAGGGTTGAAGGTGGAGCCTGTGGAGTCAGGGTGTGGTCACCCTGGTGATGCTGTCTGCCAGAGGCTCCTCTGGGCTGCCTGCCCTTGCCGGCTTCTACCCTTGTAGACCTACCCTGGGGATGCCACAGATGTGTAGAAATTTACATTCTCACCAGTGTGTGGAGGTCAGACCATCAATTCTTCATTTTGTACAAGTTTCTGTTAATATCAGTGATGCTGCTGGATTCTGGGATGTTTCAGAGCCCAAAGTAATTGTGCATAAAGTAAAACTATGCTACCTGACATAATTTTTCAATTTTCCGATCTAATTTTACTGACTTATTCTTTTACAAGACTACATCATTTCAGAAGAACAGCTCACAGCTTGATCTGTGTTTAAGCCTTACTTCCCAACACGAGTTCTAGTGCCATCCCACTGCGACGTCCATGCCTCTGCCCACTGAGCTCCTCCCTGCTTTTTTTTCTGGTAAACACTATGTATTTCACTTTTCACAGATTCTAGGCCATTTCCATTTTTTTTTAAATATCAAGAACAACTTTTCAGTTGTTTGTCATATGATTTCTCTATACTTAACTACATATACAATCATTTTTTTCATTTTTTCACCGCTCTTCTGTTACTTAATAGCTCAATAGCTTAATAGCTCCAGTGTACCTTAGGTCATTCCTCAGCAGCAATATTCTTAGAACTAGGTAGCAGTGACCACACAGGTTGCTGCTGTCCATTTCTAGTCACCACCATCCCTTCTGGACTCACTTTGCCCATAATCCTTTTTCATCTATGATTTCCTGTGTAGGTGATCAAGAAGGAGCCCATCCTGAACTTTGGAAGGCAGAGGGAAGGCTTGATATCATCCATGGCACCTGTGTGAACAGTGGGGAGAATCACCTGTAGGGTGCAGGCAGCTGAGTGCATCAGCTACCCCTAGGCTTCCTGAACAGGCCTGAGCACCAAACGGTTAGACAGCCTCTATCTCTAATAATAGATGCATTTATTTCTGGATGGAACCAAGAGGAACCATCCATTTCTACTATCAACTTCCTTGATTACCAAATATCATGCCATAGAAAGGTTATATTCAGACTTTAATTCTCTGTAAACAATTCAATCATTGAATATCAACAGTGACTGACTTTCGCTGCATGAAATCAAACTGGGGCTATAACCCAGTTTCCTTGAGTTTAATTCACTCTGTATTTATTAAATCAGCAGAAACATTGTCATGCCTGTGTTGCTAGTCTGAGAAAAGAGAATTAGGGTGCTAAGAACCCTCTCTTTCTTGTGTGAAAACCTTTCAGTTATTTTCAAAGCTTGGCTGCATCTGAGGACCGTTCTATTCAGAAGGGGTACCAAGAGGAGCAGCTGGGGCTGCTGGCATCACACATCTGCTCCCCGGTAATTTTTGTTCAGGCCTGTGTTACTGTGGGAAGGTAGTTTTTATACTGCTGACAGTAATAAGTGGCAGCATCTTCAGGCTCCAGGCTGCTGATGGTGAGAGAATAATCTGTCCCAGATGCACTGCCACTGAACCGCATGGGACCCTGGGCTGCAAATTGGATGTGTAATAGAAGAGGAGCTTAGCAACTTTCCCTTAGTAGCTTAGCAGCTTAGGAGCTTTCTGCTGATACCAGGCTAAGTGTTGTTAACACTCTGACTGGCCCGGCAGGAGATGGTGACTTTGTCTCCCGGAGATGCAGGCACGGAGGATGGATACTGGCTCATTTGGACGTCACACCTGGCCCCTGAGATGGAAACATAAAACACACCCACACTGTCATCCTGTCATCAGAGGACTTCCCTGAGGGTCAGGGGTCCTGCCCACTCGGGGCTGATCAACTCCTGGTGTTTCCTTCCTCACCTGGGAGCCAGAGCAGCAGGAGGCTGAGGAGCTGAGCAGGGGTCAGAGTACGGGGGGCTAATGTGTCCTGACTGGGACTGACTCTCAGGGGCTGTGACCAGCCTACTAATAAGCCTCCAGGGAGGTGGATTGAGGCCTGGAAAGATGCAAATGAGCAGGGACGGGGCAGGCTGGGCACAGCTGCAGGGCTGACTCCACTTAAACCCTTCAGGGTCCTGAGAGCACAGAGGAGGCCCCATGGCCTGTGTCCCAGGAGCTCACAGACACGGTGAACATGGTTCTCCTTGGTGGTTACATGGGGCTGGCCGTCATATGGGTAACTGTTACTGATGCCTTTTACAATTTTGCTCTCAAAATGCATTTTAAGTATATCCATGAATGACAGTATTCTTTCTCTTTAGGAAGTAAAGATGATATAGCTTATGATGAGGAACAAATTGTGAAATACACGTGAACATGTGTGTAATTTGTGTAAAAATATACATGGACCAAGATCCAATTATAAATCAGAGACATCCTGCAGGGGAGGAGGAGGGAGAGGATCAGAGCGAGGGAGGGAGGAGCACAGGGGACTGAGGTGATGGTGCACAGGTGCATTGGGGAAGGAAACTCCATGGGGACTACCCCTGAAGGGGTTGGGGGGAAGCAAATATTGTTTAAAAATGAACAATGATGTAAAAAATAAAAAATAAAATGCATGAAAAATAAAATATTGTGGTATAAGAAAAAAATATACATGGACCATTGCTGGGATGATGATGATGATGATTATTATTATTATTGTTATGTATGTGTGTTTCTGTGTGTGTGGTCAATTTCTTTCTGTCTTCTACATTTATTTTTTGAACAAGATCATAAACTGTCTCAGGCTTGTGACTAAAAAAATCAATTTTAACTTCATGGAGAGGTTTTTATTGATTAAGTCAAAAATTTTTTTGACAGTGTAATGAAGTAATACATTTTATTCCCCAGAAAATGTTCTACACAGTTTTTGGGTTCCTTGTCTTCATGGTTTCCCAAACAGGGTCCATCTGTTTTAAACAAAAATTATGTCACATTTCCTGGGACATGACACTATAATGAAAAAATAAAGACATGATATTTCCAAACACATCACCAAAATATGCTGATCAAAATATTACCAAAATATGGAGATTCATTTTGCAGATTTCAGTTGTAATTAGCAGGAACCCCAATGTATTGTATAGAAGAGTACTTAAGTGCATTATAGAGAAGAGTACTCAAAAGTCCTGTGTGCCAGGCTAAAGGGAGCTAAATCCAATAATTTTTCTTATCAACTGGAACATCTCATTTCTCACCCCTCCCCGCTGTGTCCTCCTTTGTGTCACCATCATATAAAGGGCCACTTCAGTGAATGTTGAGGAGGCACCTGGAGCAGAGAGACACGTGAAGAAGCTGCAGTAGCTCTGCATCCTGCTTCCTTCCTCCTCAGCCTCCTCTCCAGCTGCTTCTCCTCCCTGCTCAGCTCTACCCTCCCTGATGGGACAGGGAACATGGAAACTCCCCTTTTCCTGGGGACCACCCTGTTACGGTATCATCTTCCCTGGCTCCCATATCCAAGGCCTTGGAAAGTTTAATTCAGACTAATTCCCTTTATGAAAACAAGTCCAGATTGGAATATCAACAGTGACTGACTTTTGCTTTATGAAACCAACCTGGTGGTGTTACCTAGTTTCCTTGGGCCTAATTCCCTCTGTCTTTATTAAATTAGCATATACATTGGCATGCCTGTGTGCTGGCCTGAGGAGGGGAAACAGAATTTAGGGTGCCAAAGACCTGCACTGTCTCTTCTGTGAAAACTTTTCAGTTATCTTCAAAGCTTGGCTGCATCTGAGAAGTGTTCTCAGCAGAAGGGTCACCAGGAGGAGCAGCCTGGGCTGCCCTGGGCAATATCTGCTCCCCTGGGTGGTTTATGTTAAAGCTTACATCACTGTGGGAATCCAATTATGATCCTGCATGCAGTAATAAGTTGCAAAATCTTCAAGCTCCAGCCTGCTGATGGTGAGAGTAAAATCTGTCCCAAATTTTCTGCCACTGAAGCGGGATGGGACCCCAGGTTGCAATGTGGATGCAATACAGATGGGGAGCTTAGGCACTTTCCCTGGCTTCTGCTGATACCAGGATAAGTCATTATTAACACCCTGACTGGCCCGGCAGGAGATGGTGACTCTGTCTCCTGGAGATGCAGACATGGAAGATGGAGACTGGCTCACCTGGATCTCACTCCTGGCCCCTGGGATGGAAACAGAAAACACAGCCACACTGTCATCCTGTCATCAAGGACTTCCCTGAGGGCCAGGGGTCCTGCCCACTTGGGGCTGATCAACTCTGGTGTTTCCTTCCTCACCTGGGAGCCAGAGCAGCAGGAGGCTGAGGAGCTGAGTGGGGGCCCTCATGTCCATGCTGGGTCCTGACTGGACTGGACTGACTCTCAGGGGCTATGACCGGCCTACTAATAAGTCTCCAGGGAGGTGAACTGAGGCCTGGAATGATGCAAATGAGCAGGGGCAGAGCAGGCTGGGCACAGTTGCTGGGCTGACTCCCCTCATAACTCCCAGGGGCCCGAGAACACAGTGCAGGCCCAGTGGCCTGTGTCCCAGGAGCTCACATACTCAGAGAACACGGTTCTCTTGGCTGGTTACATAAGGTCTGGCCACCATGTGGGTAAGTTTACAGATGTCTTTTGCCATTTTTGCTATCCAAATGCATTCTTAGTATTTTTCTTCCCATTTAAGTGGAAAAGATGATATAATCTAATGATGAGAAACCTAATGTGAGATGCATGTGGAAATTTGCCTAATTGATATATAAGGATCATTGCTGGTACCACTCTTATTATTAAAAATTCTGTGTGTATTTCTGTGTGTGCCTGTGTATGTCAAATACCTTTTGTTTTCTGCATCATTTCCTGAACAAGAACATTGTCTCTCCTAGACTTACGGCTAAAATTAAAAGCAAATTAATTTTAATTTCACGTTGAAAGTTTTTGTAGA